TTAGTTTTTCTTTTAAAATGAAGTTCAAAGAAAATGTCACCATTTGGCACTAAAATAAGACGTTACCCTAACTCATTTATTTATTTTTTGTCTTGAGGCATCATCAAAAGCCCATTTTCACTGTCATACTGCTTCTCTAGTTCTAATTGTTTCATCTTTCCAAAACAAAACAGGTTTTTTTTCCCATTTTTCCTTTCCATGTCTGTTTTTAGTCATCTAAACACAATTACTGTGTCTCTGAGGATCCAGCTTTAAGCAGGACAGACTGCTGATTTTAGGAAATTGTATTGAAGAGAAATAATTTTCAGCAGGCTGCTGTTTTCACAATAAGAGCCATGGAGGGAAGAAAAGTGTCTGTGTGTGTCTTCCTACACACACGCAGCTATACAGCTACCATATACTTAATACAGGTATAAACACACTAAGTTTAGCAAATGATTAAAATGCACAGCACGCGTGCAAACACACAGCTTATTTCCCTTCACATTGTTCCAGTGGGCTGCGTGCTGTAAAGATAATTGCTACTCTGTCTGTATTTATCTGTTTTTATTTATTTATTCTATTGTATTTGTTTCATTTTTAATTTAAATCTTTAATCTCTGTATTCAAGGTTGTTATTATTTTGTAAAACACTTTGCAGCAGTTATCTGGGAAAGCTGCATTAATACAAAATGTTACTATTATGTCTTTGTTTTTAATTTAGTAGTCAAGTTGAGGGCATCGCTTCGTGTGTTTGTGTATATAATTAAATTCAGGTTTATTTATATAGTGCTAAACCAAAACAACATTCAGGGGCTTAAATGTGTATTATATGTCTTGATTCAATCCATGCTGAAAGCATTTGATATATTTCATGACACATGAAATATAGGGAAACATTATTTTATATTAAAATGTAGAAAGGAATTATTGTCATTCTAATATTATACTGTTAGAGGCTTAGTTTACTTGAAGATACTCGAATAGTTGGTTTTGACTTCCATCCATCCATCCATCACTTTTTTTTCGCTTATCTGGGGCCGGGCAGGGCCAGCAGCCTAAGCAGAGAAGCCCAGACCTCCCTCTCCCTGCCCAGCTCCTCCAGCTTTTCAGGGGGAATATTAAGGTGTTCCCAGGCCAGCTGACACATATAATCTGTCCAGCGTGTCCTAGATCTGCCCCCAGGGCCTCCTCCCAGTGGAATACCTCACCCAGTAGATGCCAAGGAGGCATTCAAGTCAAATGCTCGAACTGGCTCCAAAAGGAATGGAGGACCAAGCTCCTGCAACGGTTGTTTAAGGATTGAATTGCCAGTAGCAATGAGTAGTCCGCCTTGTCTCCAGACGCTGCTTACGCTACAGAAGACTTTTCAGTGGGATTAAGGAGTTCCTTGAAGTATTCCTTCCACCATCCAACAGTGTCCTCAGTTGAAGTCATCAGTGCTCCACCCACACTATACACAGTCCAAGTAGAGTACTGCTTTCCCCTCCTGAGTCGGTTGAGTCATATCTTTGTGTTTATCTTGTTTGTAGCGTGTGCCTTAAAAAAATCAAAAACGTTTATCATTGTTTGTTTCCTTTTTACACCAGTGTGTATGTGTCTTCTTCTCAGTTCACGGTCCAGTATTGGAGACAACAGTGGATGAAGATGTGAACTCCATGCTTATTGTCAATCTACAAAGTGGGACAGAGTACAGTGTCCGAGTCAAGGCTTCCTACCCTGCAGGAGAAAGTGAGCCACAGCTAATAAATGCCAAGACATGTAAGTGTCCTTCTCATAAACCTGCAAGTAACAGCACAGCAATGTAAATGCTGAGGAACTCGTTATCCCTCACAGTCTCTTGGCTGTTACAGTTCATTACCATAAGATTGTGAACATATGCAAGCATAATTTTAAATTGCACTTTCATTGAAAAAACATTGACTTACTTTTGGGAAGTTATTATATTTTTCGGGGATTTACTCATTCGCCTACCAAGTGAAAGATGTCTGTTTTGATCCCGGGAGGAAACACAAATCCCTTTGGGGTTGTGTCAGAAAGGGCATCTGGTGTAAAAATCTACCAAATCAAACATGCACAAGGGGTTGCCACAGCAACCCCCTATGAATAAAGGAGCTTTATTGGGATGTCACCACCAGCTGGAAATTTTTTAATTATAAATTTGCCACAAAACGTTGTGTGGCAATTAGACTGCAGCAGAAAAGCAAAGTAGTTTAAGGAAAGTGGGGAAGGTACAACATGCATATTAAACACCTGCTGATATCATACTCTCTAATTTCCATTGAGACTTTGGCAAACAGACAGATGGATATTAATATTTTCCTTGCAGGCGGTGAGAACAATCTCTTTTGCATATAGATTTGGTATCAGTAGGTGCAGTAAGAACTAATGCAGGCTTTAATGCTTCTCTCATCTAAAACAAATAGCTGAAGAGAGTGGGAGGCTGAGACACCGAGAGAAAAGAGAAAAGTTAAAAAGCACTGCATGCATGCTTTCATTTATGTTGTCTTTTTAGTTTTTTTTCTTTATGTTTCTGTGTAGTCATGTGAGTTTTCAGAAAACTGCCCTATCATCCCTCTCTCAAAATCTATTGCGGTTTTCTAGGCTTAAGGTCTAATTTCAAGTGGTGGGATAAATACAAATAAGCTTATACTGTAGTTTTAATAGCTCATCACCACACTATTTCTCTCTGAAGCAAAGTGCTGAGACACGTAAAGCCGAGTGATTAATCAAGTTGCACATCACCTGCAAATAAATGGGCTGCTTTTGATTTCTTTTTATTAATTTGTGCTGCAGTGATGTGCCATCCTTCATCTGTTTTTCTCTGTGCCCCAGTAGGATGACTTACAACTCCCTCACGCCTTCCTGTCTATATAAAGCACTCATAATGAAAGATGCTTTCACAAAAAGAGAAAGATAAAACACGAGGCACTGGGATGCAAATTATACCACCTTCCATATATAAACTTTACACTCTGACACCGGCGTGGCAACAAATCTTTAGCAGTGACTTCAGGACTAACAGAATGCATGTATTTTGTTTTTCAACTTTATCTACATGTTACTCTTTTGGGATCCATTATGCTTGTAGTACTGTTTTTCATGCTGTAATTAGTTTTTCTACACTGCTGGCCAGGGATCAAGAAAATATCTCATCACTAAATATTAAACAGAACACATATGAGATGCAATCAATTCTCAATGTGCCGATACGTTTTCAGATGTATCGCATTTCCCCATGTTACACAGTGCTTAGTTAAATTCATTGCAAGTAGTTTGGTCTTCTCTGGGGGAACCCTGATTTATAAAGGGAAGTGCATGGAATCATTTGTCATTTTAATAAGGTGGCTATAGTGTCATATTTCCCCGGGCACACTGCATTCATGGCAGCCTCATCAACAGAAGGTTATATGGCATGTTTGCACAAGTAATTTGCACATACTAACATGTAGCATAAAAAGCAAATTTAGTACCCGTAGGACCAGTGAATGAAATTAACTTGTTTCCCTCAGACAAAGCCTAATATATTTTGAAATTGGGAGCTGGAGCTTTTATCATATAGGTTAGCACAAGACTGCAGAAGAGTCTCGTGATGTTTTGCAGAAGAAAAAGAGAGGTTTGACTCAAACTTTCCAGTGTGACAAGAAAGGCATGATGAGAAACATCCTGAATCAACTAAATATATACTTTCCCTTTGGGTGCAAAGACTTTGTTTCATCCAGTTGTAGCAAAGGAAGCCAAAATCAGACATTGTTTTAACGCAGTGTTTATCTGCATGCTGCTGCACCCACATGTGCCTCAGCACCAGCTTGTAGGTGTCTTCCAGTGCCCCGTGAATGTTGCATGTTTGTATGTATGAGAGTAAGTTTATGTGCATCTTTGCATATTATTAATAGAAATGATGGGTTGCCCTATGCATTATTCAAAAGTATTTAAAATAAGGCACCTGCCATATGGTCCCGGCATAAAATATCCATTTACTGGCACAAGAGCCGAGTTTATTTTATATCATCAGCAAATTCTGTTAACAAGGAGGAAAGAGCAAGAGTGAGCGAGAGAGGGAGAGAGAGGAAAACAGAAGAGAGAGTGACTCCAGGGAGGTTTGCTTGCCTGTGGTACACTCAAATAACACTACCAAACAAGTTTCAGCTATTAAAACTGCTCAGCTGTTTTGCATTTCACTGCATAATGTCTCTTGTTCCCCCACAAGACACATCAACGCTGACTAATTTTGTTACTTAATGATTTATTTTAACATCTACCCAGCTCAAAGTTTTAGACTATTTACACTTGGTGCACTGTTAATGTTCTGACCACTTTTCTGTTTCATACATAATCCAGACAATTCATTTTGTCCGAAACACTAATAACTGTTTACATTTCCCTTAAAGTGCTTTGCAAAAGAGCTTTCTGTTTGGGGATTTCAAAATTTCTCCTACTTAAACTCTTCATTGTTTGGTGCGTGGAAGGGCTGGGGACAGCAGGAAGTAATAGTGTGTGTGTGCGTGCGTGTCGGAGAGAGAGAGAGAGAGAGAAAGAGACATTACGAAATGCATATTAGTGAGTGTATTGGAAATTGAAAACTAGAGGTTAATCTGAGCTTTCTATCATCTCTACAACTCTTTGTTTCTCTCTAGTATTCCTTGGTGTGTCTGGCTTGTCAGCCTACCAGGTGCGACCCAACAGCATGTGTGTTCAGTGGCAGCCTCTTCTACATGCTACAATATACAGAATCTCTATACAGTCCACACTCAGTAAGTACTTTTACTCTTAAGACCTGTCAACAACCCTCTGGCAACCTCCATTCACTAGGGAAGAATGTGTATTCTCCACCCAGTTAGCGAGTGGTTGCTAGCTGAGGGTGCTGCACCAAAAACTTTCCCTGTGTTTGCTTTGCTTTTCCTGTGTGGTTTGCAAGTGTTTGCACATGTCTACAAACACTCGCCATTTACTCTCTGAATGCCTTGCAAACTGGAGACAGAGAATGGTTGCCATCAAAGTTAAAGTTGATTGAATTAGGAAGGTGCCTTCCTGCTTCAATCAACAGATTTCAAAAGGTGCAACTTTTATTTCAAGGTGACCAGTTCAGTACCACTTGGCAAGTGGTTTGCAAGTGTTTGCTGACAAGTCGGTCTCTCACAGGGTAACCAGGCTCTAAGATTACATGAATGGGGAGAGTGTTCTAATTCCCAACACGTAACATACCGACAATTAGTTACGTCCTGAGGCGTCCCACAGGAACGAGAAAGGTAACCTTCTGCATCCCTATGGTACGCGCCAGATTGCGGATGGAGTCTAACAGAATGACGCTCCCGGCAGTAACGCACATTCCAGCCGTGTATTCCAGCTCTAACCCTAACCTTAATCCTAACCTTAACCACAGTCTTAATCGGCTTAGATAGTGTTTTCCAAAGTGATTAATGATGAGGAAGTAAAATAAATATACATGTGTAGATCAATTCCAAACTGTTCTCATGTTTCCGAGAGCGTAACATACCGAGGATTTGTCACATAGCGTCGTACGTTACGTTTTGGGATGAGAGCGTGTTGGAATGGGATGACTTAACAGCAGCAGCCAGCAACATCATGCAATCGGATGGTTGCCGACTCGTCTCCAGACCTGTGTGACTGAGACCTTAATTATATTGTATACTGGCATATACTTGTATCTGTGAAAAGTGTAATTATTTTAATTTGGTCCATTGGTAATTTGACCTGTTACAAGCTGCTCACTCTGTCCTGCCAGCTGTGAACTTATAAATTCACCACCTTGCTGAAATATGGTCTGAACCCCACCTCACCTTTACGGTAATAAAACTTCATCCCAGAAACAAGCAGGAGTTCTCTGCAGAGACACATAGTCAATACGTACATTTTTACTGTGCACCCCCCAGTTGTCCCAACATGTGAGAAGCAATATTTTTGCCAGTTAAGTATCTGGAATACAGTTCAGTCAGTAAATCAAACTCTTTACTAGAGTTGTGCTATGCAGTGATGCAGCTGGATTCAGGCTCCGACCTTTTGAATGTGTGTCCTCAAAGGTTTGCAGTATCCTCGTGAAAATGTCTCCTCTGTTTATTATTAACACAAATACCAGTCAGCTCAGGACACGTGTACTGGTTACGGGTACCTTTCACATTCATTTTGATTTATATTGATATGAGCAACTGGGGAAATAAGTGTTATATATATTTGTTTCATTCTCACATGGCACTGGTTTCTGCTGTGAGGGATCATCATAAATCTTGCTATTTGCAGAAGGGAAGGGGAGATATGATATGCTCGATAAATGACATGGGAGGAAACTGCTTTGAGAATCGCGCATGTCATCGCAGCAGAAATGAGACCAGGAAAGATGCAGAATGTGACCTTTAGATGCTGTTTAATACACAGATCACCTTATTAATCAATGGAAAAAGGGAGCTGGAGGAAGAAAGGGGGTTGAAGCAAAGGGAGGAGGGCGCACAAAAAGGAGAAAGTGGAAAAATATGTTTTAGTTAAATAGAATCAGCCTAGGAAAAAAGCTGTGTTTAACCCCAGCTTTGTGATAGTTTGACAAAAATATAAAACCCAGGTTGTGTTGACCGAGAAGTGAGAAGTTTGGAACTCATCCTATCACAGTGAACAATTTCAAGTCGGAGCTTTATTTTTATTCGTCCTCAGGGGGCTATCAGCTGGGCAGCACAAGTTCATATGAAATCTAAAGCCCTCCTGATATTTTTCAGAGATGGCTATCATGTAGAAATTGCTGTATAGATTTGTGGTCATCCTCAAAATAATTTGTTAGTGTAGGCAAGTAATGCCTGAATCACTGCTTAGTCCACAGGGTTATTTTTGAGATATCAGTGCAGTAAAAATCAAAACATATTGTAGCAGGCAGGTTGGACTACCGTATGTGCTTCATGGGTTTACATTAAGCCTGAAAATATCCTGTCATTTATTCCTTGATTGCCGTTCAGTGAGATTCGTAGTTGGTAAATGAGCTCTGGGTTCCACCCATTTGATTTGCCATGGGAAAGAAACCGCAGGTGTGACTAATACCATTACCAATGATCTTGATTTGCTTTGGTGTGCAAGCAAGGCAGTGTGCACAACATCAAAGCAATGACAGCACAGCAACAAAATTGAATGCAGCTTTATTAAAATTAAACTGAATAACAGGAATGCACTGTGTATGTATATCAGATCTTGGCTCTGCTTTAAAATAGATTTTTCCGACAGCGTTCAGGTTCGTGGTTGCTGTTGATTAAACTAAATTGGAAGCTAGCGTTGGCTGATAAATGTATTAGAGACACGAACAAATTCGGCGTGTGATTTGTGCACGCATTTCATTGCCTTTCGAGCGAAGAAGACAGCAGGAAGGAGGGAGATTTCTCTCCCGTCTTCCTCGCGAACTTTTCGATTTGTCTTTGTCTCTCTCTCCCTCTCCTGCCTGAGCAGCGGTGGGATGTTGAAGTCGAAAGTTTAGAGATTTACTTTAATCCACGCAGAGCCAGCCAGCTGCTTAAACACCTTCTCGGATGGAAATGCGTGGAGCCTCGGTGACAGCTGTTTCCCTAAACTTTATTATCTATGGCTGCTTCCTGCGTGGAGGAGGAGCTAATTTGTCAACCTCCAAGATGAGAGACACATTAGGAAATAAAATTAGACTAAATGAAACTGACAAATGGCAGCCATTAGAGTGTGTACTGTATACGCGAGTTTCCAGTTTGTACCTTTTGGGCTGTCTTTTCTTCTCTGTGATCCTCTCGCTCTGCAGCCCGTCAAAACAGACACTACAAAGTACGTGTTTGCAGTCTGCAATCCAGGGGGAATTGTCAAGAGAAGACAAAAGAGCTCAATAACGTGATTTATTTTGATTTTCAGTTGATTTAAGATGTTTTCCCACACTTTTTGAAAACTTTCTCGCTTACCTTTTTGGTGAAGTGAAAGCGGCACATGTGGCGGATTCTCAACCAGTGTGTGTGTGTGTGTGTGTGTGTGTGTGTGTGTGTTGTGCTTTCATCATGAAAAGGATGCCTGAGAATGAATCATTTTGATGCATCACAGTTAATTCTGTAAAGTCAACAAAACATTGGGCTTCATCAGAGCCTTAAACCGGACTCAAATCTGATTATATTTACCCTAATCTGCTAGAAAATGCATTATTAATATTATCTTAGATTTTCATTGAGAACACAGAGGAAAATGAAGGTGTGTCTTTTGTAAAAGTTCATCTAAAAAGCATCTCCAGGCGATTTCAGTCTGTTTGGCGTGCATGACTTTTACTGGGAATTTTAATCACTCTAAATCAGCTCTTTTATTTCTTGTTGCCTTGCAGATGGTCAGAGACAGGAAGTGAGGCTGGGAGGTGGAGCTTCCCGACACTGCTTTTACGACCTCACTCCTAGTAGCCAATACCAGATCATCGTTCACGCGCAAATACAAGAAACGGAGGGACCCTCTGTCTCCATCACTGACATGACACGTATGCTGGGTTTATGTTTGTTTTATGTCAAAGCTGTCGATCATTTCATTCATTTCTATTTATCGTGAACATTTTTAAAGGGGTTGCAAGTTTTATTCTTATTTCTTTTTTACTCATTTCTCATCTAATGTAATCAGTTAATTCTTTACGTCTCCATCTTATGTATATTTTTCCCTCTTTGCACCCTGTAGCCATCTCGTCGCACATCTCGTAGCTTAGGTTTTCTTTAATTTGCTCGGTTGCACTCTCGGAAAACATATCGTGTTTGTGCAGTTCATTGGTCTGTTAATGAGGTGAGGTGAACCACACAGCTCCTGGGATCAAGAAGACTCATGTAAAAACCAGGAATACCAAAAAATGAATAGATGGATATGTTCTCATATTCACATTGCTATGTAGCAAGACATCTGTTGGATGACTTAATCTGTTTGGTTTTGGAAATAGTTGAAGGTCTATAGACAAGTGAAATTTCACTGATGTATTCACTGTAAATGTAATTAATACGAGTGTGTCTGTGCATCAAAACTTTTAGCTGTCAGCCACAGCAAAGAGAAGCATAGACTACAAATTGTCATAATTATATTAAGTTCAGTACTTGAAATTGTACTTGTTGCTTTTACACACAGCCAACAGCCACCTTTCCATATCATCTGTGTAAGTCTGTAAACAACCGATAAAGCTCAAAGGGTGAAAAGACACAATAAAAGCAAGAAACAGCGTCAGGTAACGAAGGCACGAATTTCACCTGAACTCCTCACTGTTTATCATTCAGTGACAGCTGCGTCAATCAAGCAGATATTCTCTAGCAGGCTACATATCTTTGTTTTGTCACCACAGCGGGTGTGGTGTGGAAGCCGAAGAAACATTTGTTGAGATAATCTCATCCAGTTTTACAAAGTGTGCGTCGCTTCTTTGCGCAGTAGCAAATCTCTCTGAGATGATTCACTTTACTGCTCTCTGGTTTGACAGAACTTTCTCCAAAGTAAGTAATCTGACACCGAGGCACAGACTTTAACTTGGGGCTGTTTTTGAGTCTTACAGACAATAGATGCTAGACTGATAAACTAAAATCACTTGTGCTGTCCCCAATTTAGGATGTATAGAAGCAATTTAGAAAGTTCAAATCTGAAATAATTCCAAAATGGAGCAAAAGACAAACTCAATAAAACACAGAAGCTGTTTTGCTTATGTACAGTATCTACAGATTGCATTAGAAATCTTTTTTTCTGTAAAGGTCCAGAGCTCAATCGCTGGAGGAAAGGTTAATAGAAACAGACCACTGCTATGTCTCAGTGTGCCAGCTGTGTTTGTGTGCTCATGCACAAGTGTGTGTTTGCGGTCTGCATGTAGACCCCATTGATGGTGCCACTTGTCACTGTCGTCATGATTGATGACCTTGCCTTCTATCTCTGTGTCTCTGTGTGTGTTTGTGCGTGCTTCCAGTTGCAGCACCCACTCAGGCGCCGACTGAACCACCCACTACGGAGCCCCCACCCACAATCCCACCAGCCAAAGAGGGTGAGATGAAGCTTTTAATACTCTTATGTTCAATGTGGTGGATAATCCTTGCAGTTGACATATTATGTCTTTTTAGAGGAAATATGACATCCGTCTTATTTCTGTTCCTTATTCCCACCTGGTGTATTCATTGTGTACTTTGAAAAACAAAAATGGCCAATACATTACCTTCTCAATAGTTTGTTTACATACAAAAACATGTGCGTTCTGTAAAACTGACGCACGTAATTGCTAAACTTCTTATCTGAACTTATTTTCCCTGTGTGTGCAGGAAAAATGCGACTGAAGCAACTTAGGAAAATGAATGTGAGACAGAAGAGTGTGTTTAGTGGATATATTGGGAAAATGATGCCAAAGATTGAGCTGCCAGAGGAGAGCAAAAGGGAAATACCAAAGAGAAAGTAGTGATTGAGGGCGTGCAGATGGTGTGACAGAGGAGGATGCTAGGGAGACGGAGGCACGAAAGAAGAAGGCACAGTCCCCAACGTGCTATACCGCTCTGCTGTGGTACTGAAACTGAACATACACAGTAAATCATAAGGAAATTTGGAGAGTCGGCTTGTAAATTTAGGGTGTGCTAAAGGAAAATCTCAGACATTTTTATTCCACAATGACTTAATTATGTGAAATATACTGATTCTGCTGCAGCTAACACCAAAATGAAGAAAAGTAACCTCTTATCATATTACCACAGGCTCAGCTAGGCTAATCTGATCACTCTTACTCAGCTTTATTTCTCCTCAAATCATGCAGGGTACACCTGACTCACCGCTGACCAGCAAGTTATGATACCTGTGAAGTTTCTCTTCACTGGATCAATCACTAAGTAAAATTCAGAAAATGAGCCTCAGCTGTTCTTGATAAATTCAAACTACAATCTACGTAATAAAACTATTCTATCTATTTTAATACATTAAAAAGGAGAGCATGTCAAATTAAGGCATTTGAACCATTTTAAAAAAGCCAATAATGAATATACTGTAATGTCACTAACTTTTTAATAACACTTGAGCCTTTGGAGAGCAAGGAGTCTAATTCCGCTGTTCTTATGCAAAATGCTTATAAAGCCATACTTAATATAGGATTTTGTACGCTCTTTTATTAGGTGACAGGTCTTTAAAGCTGGCATGCCAGTTTAGCTTTGGGCTGTTTTATTAAAGAGCCATGCTGTTGTAATACATGCCGATTTAGCACACTTGACAAAGCTCAAAAAAAGTCATCTGGAGAGCAGCATGTGTTGCTCCAAAACTATAATTTCAGTGTTAATCTGAAGAAATTAATCAAGTTCAACTTTTGTTTTCTCTTTTTGATGCTTTCAAGTTAATAAACATGATTTGCAATTTAGTCTTTATTAGCACACAGCTTCTTTCTTTCTTTTCCAAACAGGGTTGTGAATGACTCATGAGTTAGGACAAGCAAAAATGTTTTTCAAATGTTTTTTTAAATCGAAAGCTCAAGTAACGAAGGGGTTTGAGTCCTCCACCCTTTCACCTACTACCCAGACAGGCTTCGTCCTCCTCTGTTCCTGTCTGATGAGCTCAGGTAAAAGGTCGCACCGCAACACGAGGTCCACAAAAGTGAAAGACACACCTGCTGAGCCCGCCTGGAAGCGCTTCTGTCTAAGTTTCTGACCTTTGTCAGACCAGTGCCTCCATCTGTAATGACAGGCAACCTTTATTCGGGACAGAACTGCAAAGATGGGAGAAACAGAACACAAGGACCGTGTTTTTGTTCTACGTAGGAGGGAGAAGACAAAGAAACAAAATTATGCCGCATGAAGAGATAGAAAGAAAATTTACTGAAAATGGTCAAATGTTCAAGACAGATGGCAACGCAGACAGGAAACACAAACAATCCTCTCTAACATTGAAGTTTTCTCCTCTCCTTTGTTGCATTGGAATTTATGGATACTGACATGGTCATAAACAAGGTTAGAAATTTAGCAAAGACTTGGAGGTTGCAGACTTGTTAAAAACACAAAACAACTTTACAGCAGTGATGAAAAGGCTGCTGGGAGTCATCAAGAAACCTGAGACAAATAAAAGAGGGAAACGTCGCTGCAGGGCCGTGGATATATAAGAGCGGCACAACCAGACAGGATAAAGATGATTTTGTGTTCAGAAAAATCAGAGTTTAAAAATGTGTGAGCACCATACCTTTAATCTTATGAACTCCACAGTTGGCAGATTGCTCTGAAGACCTAGTCTTTGCATATTTACCCTTTTCCAGCAGATGTATATTTGCAGAGCTTCATACTTTGCATATTTACTCTGAGTCTGAATATATTAGGCAGCCAGTTAATATTCCACTTACGCTTTGTCCTCTGCTGACATTCACACTGTGTGAAATTATTTTTTTGTGTAGACGCAAAGCGTTGTGCTGACTAAATCTAAACCCCTCCCTTATCTGTCTGAAGTATGTAAGGAGGCCAAGGCTGACCTGGCGTTCCTGGTCGACGGCTCCTGGTCCATCGGAGATGACAACTTCATGAAGATTACACGTTTCCTCTACAGCACCATGGGATCGCTGGATCTGATTGGACAAGATGGCACCCAGGTCAGTCACATGACAGCATTCTTAGTGAACTTATCTCGTTTTACTCATTCATACCAGTTTTCCCCAAAAATCTGTCATTACATGGGAAAGGAAGATTTATGGATTAAAACGTCATGCTGTCTTGACCGCCTCGCTCTGACTCACAGTGAAGTGAGACTCTTTGCAGGGCTTGGATTCACATTTAGGACTGTTAGTGGTTGTTGTGTCTAGTCTAAATTCCTGTGTCTAGTGAAAATGACCGTTTTGCCAGTTTACACAGTTTAACCAACAGAAATCCAAATTGTCCCTAAGGCTTTTCATTTCCTTTCAGTCTCTTTGCAATTTATTTTCTTTGTTTAAGAATTTTTCCTCATGGGAAATATGATGTATAGCAGACAGTGGGGCTCCAGCCAAATGCAGCCGTACTCAAAACCATAATAATGAGGGAATAACTTAATTGCATATCTGAGTATAATCTGAGGGTTAGGAACTCGTTCACAGACGAGAGAATTATGTGTATGCGGGTGTTAATCCCTGCAAAAAGATAGATTACAACCCCCTGCCGCTCTAGCGAATTACCTCATCCTCTTTCCTCCAGCCGTTATGAACTGCAGCCAATTTCACCAATAGCCAGTCACCAAAAAGAGAAAGAAAAGCTCTTTTTAATTTTTGCTTTAGGATCTGCTGAAGCTAGACTAACATTCAGCGGAGAGTAAAATAAAGGAGCTTGGATGCTGATAATGAGAGGATGGAGGGGACTTATCGAAAAGCCACTTAGTTTCTGTAACCTACTGTTTTCTTTGTTTCAAAGTTAGCCACTGAAATTTGATTAGAACAGAAATTTTACCCATATAATGTATCTTAGATCATTTGAGTTTAGTCCACATCCTTCGGATCATTTATTGTTTAGGAAAGAAAGGTGCTGACACTGGCATTCATTGATATTAGAAGGACGCTCTGGAGCCCCTGATAAATCAGCAGGACCAAAGCTTTACATCTGTTGAAAAGTTTGGGAAAGTGAGAAGAAACTTTAAACTCCCTGTGAGTCAATCTTTACTTTCTGGAATGACTTCTTGTTGCTGAGCGGTATTGAGTTAACTCCACTCATTTGCAGCCACTGTTCCAGAAAACAATACTTTTCCTGCAGAAATGGTGATTTTAATAAGTTGAGTGCAGATGCATTAAAGCTGGTATAAACAGTGAGTGGTTCTCTGTCAACGTGATTCTAACAGAGCAAAAGTTTGACTCATGTTACCACGGGGGATATTACCATCTTCACTCCCTCAGACTATCTCCCATTTATCAGGTCCATCAATAGTAATGCTAAGCTCTAACTCGGGGCTGTTGCTCCCTGTTGTCACTGTGAACTCATTTATTTGCGCTTCTGTCCTGCATGGCCCCCACTATGTCAGCAAACCTCAGCTGGTTCATTTATCACACTGTAGAGGTGCTTGCTAAACCCTTTTGTTTCATTTGTGTAATGTCTACTGTTAAGGAGTTCGCTAGCCTCGCTGTGCCCCATAACCTTCTGGCAGTAGGCTACCAGCATCAGAGCGCTGGCTGTAATGTGAGAAAGTTGGCTGCACAATAAAGAGGGAGTTGGCTGGGTAATGTAGGCTGACCAAAGCCAACAACAGCACCATTAGCAGTCTGGAGGTAATGACAGTTGTCCGACGCTCTTAGAGTATGGATATTAGACTGATTACAGCGCATGTATTCCTAAGTTTCCCCTATGCTTGTAGAAAAAGCTGCATTATTCCCTTTTTGCATCATGAGTGTTTCTTAGTGTGAAAAATATTAAATACACCAGGAAGGACCAGATGAAAAAAGGGTGATAACACTGCCCCGTCTATAAAGCTATAATCTTAAACTGTGAATTGTATATTCAGGCCTCTTGTGCATCATGTACAGACGAATGTAGTGCAGATGGGTTTATCTGCACTACATTCGCTTTGTGGGGATATTTTGTCGCACCCCAATTTATGTAATTACACAATTACCATCAGTGAACAATAGCAATATCTGTTTGATACTGTTGTTAATGTCCAGAAAAAATTCAGAAAGCGTTGGTGATAATGACGTGGATATTACGTTGTTTGACCAAGATCGCAATCATTTGGCTTCATAACACTTGAATAATGCCAGATAAGCTTTTTTGTGTGTAATTTAGGTTTTTTGTACTATGGGGCGAGGCTGAAACTACCCTGAAAACCCTTTGTGGCAGTATCGTGAATGACATGACTGTGAACAGATGATGACAGAATTTTACTATTTTCTAAATTCTCCCTTTATACGGAGTTTAAACCCAAACTGGCTCAGGCAAACGGCACTTTAAATTTGCATAATTTTATTTGACATGTGTCTCTGTCTCTCTCCAGGTGGCCGTTGCTCAGTTCAGCGACGATGCTCGGACCGAATTCCAGCTGAGTTCTCATAGCAACAAAGAAGCACTGCTGGAGGCTATTCAGAGAATCAGCTATAAAGGAGGAAACACGAAGACAGGTTAGAACAGCACAATGGCAGGATTATAGTGGTGATAGTTACTGCAATTCCCTTTGTTTAGCTCCATTTATTAGCAGGACAATTTCATTATAATCTATGTTAGTACACTGCTCAAAAATTTAACACAGATGAAAAAGAGAAAAATCATGCTTTATGGCCTGGATAATGTTTTAGGAATAAAAGGATGCCAAATCGTTTTGATAAAAATTTTAAATGATGAACCTACAGAGGGCCTAATTCAAAGGCAACCTGAAAATCAAAGTGAAAAAGTGATGCTAGTCCATTCTGAGGGAATTTCCTTGCAGCAACTCAAAATGGTACTCAGTAGTGTGTATGTGCTTCTAAGCATGACTGGCAACGTCTGGGCGTGCTCCTAATAAGATGGATGGTGTCTCGGAGTATCTTCTCCCAGGTCTGGACCAGGGCATCACTGAACTCCTGGACTGTTAGGTGCAACCATGGGGTTTGGATGGATTGAAAAATTATGTCCCAGAGGTGTTCTATTGGATTTAGGTCAGGCAAGCATGGGGGCAAGTGAGTGGTATCGGTTTCTTCATCCTCCAGGAACTGCCTGCCCTCACTGTCCAGCCCTTCGTGGCATTTGCAATAGAATACCAGAAGTGACAGGCTCTGTAACATCGTTCAGCCTGACTGTTTGGGTGGTGGGTCGGTGATGGTTTGCGGAGGCGTATCCATGGAGGAATACAACAGACCTCTACAGGCTAGGCAATAGCACCCTGACTGCTATTAGGTATTGGGCTTAAATTCTTGGACTCATTATCGCACCCTATGGTGGTGCAGTGGGTACTGGTTCCCCCAGGTGTAATGCGAGTATGCAGGCGGTGTCTGGAGGATGAAAGAATCAATACCACTGTCTGGCCTGCATGCTCACCTGACCTAAATCTAGCAGGACACCTCTGTGAATCTATGTGTAGTGACTCTATGTTTGGGTCTATGTTTCCTTCTTTTTTCACTTTGATTTTCTGGCTTCCTTCTAATTCAGCGCTCTGCAAGTAGCTAATTTTCATTCCCATCATATAATGTAGCTTCCTTGTGTTTCAAACACATTACTCAGTCCATAGCAGTACAGATATCAGCATGATTTTTTTACCGCTTGATATCTGATGTGTTTTTAAATAAAGTTGTCCTTTATTTATTTTTTGAGCAGTGCGTCTGACTATAATACACACATGTACAAATAACTTGACTAGTTTCATTCGTATCAAATGTGCGTCATTAACATCAAATCAGTATTCTGTCCATGTTGGTATATTGTACCACTCCTGCTTCATTGTCAGTATGCATAACAAACACTACGGATGATGAATCTATTGTAAAACTGATGTTGAAATGTCCCGCTGCGTTAGTCTACACAAGGTGAAAGGCATTAACTCGATGTGGTATGTGACTGTGCAGGTAATGCTGGTCGTTCAGAGCGCTTTCCCTCTGCTAAAGTTTGGGTCAGGGCTCAGTGTCTGCACACAGTAATTGTGTCCTTGAGCTATACCTGTGTGATACAGAGCCGATTCCACTAGTCTTCCTACATGTGTTTTCCTCTACTCTCTTTCTTTGTTGCTGATCTTTGTTCCTTTTCTCTTCTTCTTCCTTTCAAGCGTTCTTCTCGGCATTGCTTTTTGGCTGCTTTGTTTCATCCCATCCCTCTTTCATTTGTCTCTTCTTCCTAAATGTTCTCTTTGGTCCAGCTTCCCAATTATAGTTTAACAGGTGAAAACAGGTGGTGTTTTAGCTGACAGGGCAATGTGTATATGAGTGCATGTGGTCTACTGCGGAGCGGAAAATAAACCATGAAATTTAATCTTCACCACACAATAAAAAGTAGGAGTCAGTTGGTTCACACAAGGTTAAGCTAATGCTCACAGACTCACTAGTGTATCTCCAACTCTGATCTCTTTGTCTCACACACAAACACACATAACTGGAGCCAGCACAGTAAAACTATTCCTCAGCAGCTCAGCTACACTGTGAGTTATTCAGGCTGTTTTTACTTCGTCTAAGACACCAACACAGCATGTATTTTATTTTTAACTTGATTTTTACATATTTCATATAGAAAAAGAATAATAGAATATGCATAGTATATCTAATACTTGTATTGTGCTTTTTTACAATGACAAAGGTGAAGAGTATGTCTCTGTTTGGTTTAATGGTGCTTCTTCTATGGTTTCTCCTCTGTGATCCATCCATCCATTCTCTTCTGCTTATCCTTGTCAGGGTCGCGGGGGCGCTGGAGCCTATCCAGCTGTCTTAGGATGAAACGCGGGGTACTCTGTGATCCAATATTCATAATATAGCTTCTAAAACATAATGAATCTCTGTTTTAATTACACAGGTATGTTCAGTTTACTTGTATCACTCTTGGACTCAGGGTTTGAGTTTTGTTGCTCTTGTTTTCTTTTTTGTGAGGTTATGGTTCTTGCTTTTAGTTGTGTTTCTGTTACTCTTTGAAATTCAGTTAGTGTTCTTTATATTTGGTTCCTTGTGGGGTTTTTTATCCTCCCCGGTTGCTCTTTTAAGAAGTTTTGTCTGTTGCTTGAGTTTTGTAGCATTGGTTATCATTTGGTATTTGTTCACTGGATTTCTTATGTGCTTAGTTTTGTACTTTTTCTGGTCTTAGTGTTTATTTACTCCCCTCTGTGTTTTCCCCTTATTCTTAGTTTTTTTTATTTGGTTGTTTATTTGGTGCTTTAGGTGCTCTTGCCATGGATCATCTGTAGATTTACACTTTCTCAGTGTCTTCTTTCACTTCATGTATAATCCTAGAATTGCTACAGTGTGTTGGGATCAGAACTATGCGGGGGCCTGACAGTCGGCAGCAGAAATCCTTATTCCTCTTGTCACTGAGGATAGTCTTTTAGGACTGACTGTGTTTCTCAGGGTTGATATGCTGCTGAATGAATTTTGGACAGAGAATGTTACAAAATGAAAAGGCCTAAATTGCCTAAAGCGCAAAACCCAATTCCCCTTCCTTATAGTACATTTTGCTCCTCTGGTTCGTTGAGGGAAGGGTCAGCAGTTCCTCTGGCTTTCAAAACCGAGGCTTGCAATACAATCCATAAGTTCTGTTTGCTCTCCAAACCCAAACTATTCCCTTTTCATTTTTTTCCAAACCTCAGATTCTCCTCAAAGGCCCCATTAGGGACCCTCATTGTGTCCAAAGCCCCCCAAAATATGTACTTTTATTCCTTTCAAACCTTTAGCCTCTGGCTATCTGTGTGAATACAACAGCTAGCCAGCAAGAACCCCTGCAGTGTTAATGCGCTTTTATGTTTACTGTAAGTGGTTTGCTCACTTTATATCGCCGTCCTATGACCTTTGGAGTAGAAGAAATGTGCTCGGAAGTGTACTTGTTTACGGTAGGATTTCCAAAGATGGAATCTTTTTTAGGTATAAGTTCAGTCTGTCATCTTTATTAATTCTGAGAAATAGTTCTGCCTCCTTACCTCATACTGTTGGTTGAGAGTGCAGAGCTGTTTCTGTAGCAACATGGATTGAGTTTCTTGTTTGAAGGCCTGCAAAGGTTTTTGCTTAAGAAGATCTGACAGCTACTTATTCATATTCTGATCAAACCTGTAGTGCAAAGCCTTTTCTATATACCCATTTCATAAACAATATGTAAATGATGCTGCATCCTTTTAGACTGTATAGTCAGTTTCTGTTCCAGCATCAGTGCGCTCTGATACAAGTTAGCGAGAGAGCATGCTGAGGCTTATATTCTGGGATTTTGTTTGTCACTACGCATTTCATTAACAAGTTGTTGAGCCTCTGGCTGGCTTAGTCAATGATTGATGTAACATAGCTATAGCTGCATTAGTCCTTATCCCTGTATACACAATGTACATGAGTACACTGTGTGTGTGTTGAGATTTTTTTAAATTTATTTTTTGCTGTATACAAGTAATTGTGTTAATCCCTGGAGCTGATTGGCAGTACAGTATACACGTGGCGAATTGTGTTTCTGTAGCTTCTTGTGAGCAAATGTAAACGTGCATAGTTATGTGCATGTATTAAGGAGACACGGCATGTGTTACTTTTGATTTTCAGCTATTTAGCGATACACGCACTGGTCACTTTATTAGGGACACCTTGATGGTACTAGGTTGGACCCCTTTACTACAGAAGTGCCTTAATTCTTCATGGCACAGATACAACGAGGTGCTAGAAACATTGCTAAGAGATTTTGCTTCATATTTACATGATAACATTATACAGTTACTACAGGTTTGTCAGCTGCACACCTGTGATGTGAATCTCCCATTGCACCACAACACAAAAGTGCTCTATTGGATTGAGCTCTGATGACTGTACAGGCCATTTAAGTACAGTGAACTCATTATCATGTTCAAGAAACCAGTTTCAGATGATTGAGCTTTCTGACATGTTGCCTTATTGTGCTGTAAGCGGACATCAGAAGATGGGTGCACTGTAATCAGAAAGTCAGCAACAACCCTAGACAGGTGTGGTGTTTAAATGATGCTCAGTTGGTACTAAGGGGCCACAAGTATGCCGAGAAACTTTTTCTCACACCATTACACCAGCAGCCTGAACTGTTGATACAAGGCAGGACGCATTCATCCTTTCATGCCAAATTCTGACTCTACCATCCTAATGTCATAGTGGAAATTGAGACTTATCAGACCTAGCAATGGTTTTTTCCAATTTTCTGTTGTTCAGTTTTGGTGAATTGTAGCCTGATTTCCTGTGTTTAGTAGACAAAGATGTGGTCTTCTGCAGCTGTAGCCAATCTGTTTCAAGGTTCAATGTGTTGTTCATTCAGAGATGCACCTTTGCATTCTAATGATTGGTTGTTTGAGTTACTTTGGACCTCTGTCATCATCTGGAAGAAGTCTGGTAATTTTCTCTGACCTCTGTCATCAACATGGCATTTTCACCCAGAGAACTGCTCCCTGGATATTTTTGCTGTTTTGGACCGTTCTCTGTAAGCTTTGGGGTTGGTTATGCAGCAACATACTGCATACTGAAGTACTGACATCAACAACAATGCCATGTTCATAGTCACTTAAATCACTTTTGTTTGCCATTCAGATGCTCAGTTTGAACTTTAGCAAGTCATCTAAGCCAGTGGTTCCTAAACTTGTTTTGCTAGGCCCCCCTTTCCTTTACAAGAAAATCTTCAGTTGCAGGAGTAGTTAGTCTTATAAGAAGTGTTTGTGAACTAAAAATCAAGAATTTGATTTGGAGAGCCCAGTGTGTGCTCCTGACACAGGGGAAACCTACCTTGGAACGACAGCTGTTGTGGAGGTGAAGCCCAGGGCAAGATATGCTTCATCATATGTTCTAGTCTCTGGCTTGGATGGAAGTTGGTTTGGATGCATATTTAGCAACGCTTCTCTTTATGCTTTGCCTTTGCATGGGAGCCCCTTAAAAAAAACCCTGTCCATTATGCTATGGATAATAGCATAATGGACCCCCCCCCCACAATGGCTTCACTCACTCTGAGAACCTCTTCTCTAAGATCTGTTGACAAAAGGCTAAACGCATTGGGTTGCTGCAGTGTGATTGGTTGATTAAACATTTTTATTAAATTGATCAGGCATACCTAATAAAATGGCCAGTCATACATTATATTAGTAAGGGTGTGACTTTTTTTTAAGAAAGCACCCTTCTTCATCTGTATTAATGCAGTCTTCTGGGACCCTCACTCAATTCATCTAGGTTTATGACTCCTTTATGAATTCAGAATTAGTGTATGAATGAGTTTCGGTGACTATAAAACTCATTCCACCAGTACATTAGTCAAACCAGTGAAACCAATAAAACCCTTTCTAAAGCCTTTGTATATGTTCAATAATGCTTTTCATGACCCTGATTAAAAATTTTAAGTACTCTCATGAGCTTACTGTAACTTTTTAAAGATTAGAGGATTTAATGGCTCTGTCCATTTATGATACTCCAGAGGGAACATTACAGCCTCCACCTACAGCCACAAAAGAACAGGGAGGGAGCGTTTCCTACTGCAATATAACTTTTTTCTGTTTTTTTTTTCTTCTTTTTTTTGCGTGAAGCCTTTGAATTTTAAAACATTTAAGCATCTTTTGTTTTCCCATATTGTTTCTCTTTCTGAGTGACAGCAACAAAGCTGGTAAACTGCCAGACACCAGAACAAATGTAAAATGACACAGATTACACAAACACACTCAAAATAATGAATCGCTGATTGATGATGGGCTTTCCAACTCAAGCTGTCCTGACATGATTTGGTTTTGCAATAATTTTTTTATCACTTTTTTTTTTAACTTGCTCTCCCCATCTGGATCCACTCTTCTGTCTTCTTTCCTATCCTCAACAATCCACTTAGCCCCTCCCCTGTCTCACTTTCCTTCTTTCCTACTCTGTCCAGTGTGTCACTTCATGCCTGGCTAGCTGCTGTCTCACCCATCACGAAGAGAAGACGGTGTAGAAACAGATGTAGCACTGGCAGATATCTGACATCAAAACACTTTACAGGCCAAGCACTCTATCATTTTTCATCAGTGACAGCTCACTCTAAAAAAAAAAACAAAGAGGAGAAAGTGAAGATATGATGTGGAGTGTGGTTAAAAATTGAAAGACATCATGCACACATAGAAGAATTAATACCAGTGTTTAGCAGTATCAGTTAATGGGCGGGCCATGTATGGATGCGCTGGTTTTAGTGCAAAGTTTCCTGAGTCTGCACCTCTTGTTATAACTCCTGGAAACACATGAGAAGTGAGAGATGAGAGTAAGAGGACAGAGAAGGACTGATGGGGTTTTTTTTATTATGAAAAGATCATCTGGATATGAGCAACATTTAGCACAGCTCAACTAATCATTTCCAGCAAATTATAATGGACAAAATGCAAATGATGGAATTAAATAGAAACTACCTACCAATGTATGACTGATTAGACTTATTGTTGGTGCTCTGTATGCATTCATTTGTGATAAATGAAAAAAAAACGTAAAAGTTTCTCTATTATTTAGATGACCATCCGTCACCTACTCAGAGTTAATTTTTCGATGCTTTTACCTGATGGCAGCAGAAGGAGCTTCCTGAAGGAAAAATTATAAAGAAAAATGTGCTGTAGGTGCTACAAAGTTTTTCTGCTGTTTTGAATTTTATTTTGCATAACTTTTCGAGGTGCTTAAAGCACAGTGATGCACATAAATCATCATTAAATTCACTGACAGGTGTGCACAGAAATCCTCTCAGTTGCTTTGCTGTGGGTGGCTCCTGAAACCTTTTAAAACTGTCTAGACAGATTTTATTGACTGATTACATCCATTAGCAAGTGACTTTTAATTTTTTTGATAGCATGCTGTAAACCACATTGTGACATTGTCTATCTTTCTGTCTTTGGGTGTCATTGAGATACACAAGTCACAAGTTGTTTTCTGGCTCCTCTTTTTTTCCTAAATGCTAATCGCTCAGCCTAAATCTAATTTCAGGGGCTTTTGGGTCACTTGTCTGATAATTATGGAGTCAGTAATGTATTTTATTAATGTCAGTGGAATAATAAATTAGGAGGTCCATTAAAATTTCATCAAAGGTCACATGGTTTCACCTCTTTGATTGATGTGGGGAAGAGAATTTGAGATGATTAGAGATGACATCCGTGGTTCCAATAGCTTTCATTTGCCAAAACATTTATCAGCATCGAGCCTCGCTTGGGAAACGTGATTGATGATAAAATGACTGCTCCAAAATGTGAAAATATGAAGCTACAAATCTAAAGAGAGGTGTTAAAAGTGGTCAGCAACGGTATTACACACTATCTACAGGAACCGAGAGGAAGAAAACATTTTGGGGGAAAAGTGAAATGATTTGAAAATGATTTCAAACTTGTATTTAATTGTAACTTATACACACAAATGTTCAAAAAACGTTTAAACATTTTGACTAAGTTGATCACTGGGAAGTTTACTGAAGGCTACTGGTGCCATCTGGCCGGGAACAAGTGTGACTTCACTGCTTTGCCTGAACCGTGCTTCATTTGTGTAATGTAACAAAACGAAAACATGTGTGTGAGTTTTCTGCTTTATGCTGCTTCTGGTTTGTCTCTTGTTAGGTAGAGCCATCAAACATGTGAAGGAGTCTATTTTCACCTCAGAGGCGGGAGCCAGAAGGGGCGTTCCCAAAGTCCTGGTCGTTCTGACCGATGGACGTTCACAAGACGATGTCAACAAAGTGTCCAAGGAGATGCAGGTGGAGGGTGGGTATTTACGTCATTAATCCTGAAATGCAATGAACGATGACTTACTCTGGCCCTAAACTATGAGTCTGTGACAGTCGGTGAGATATGTAATGTTGTTATAATGAGCGTGTGTGGTTAGAGTCCAGGAAGAAGATCAGAGAAAATCCTCATTCGACCTCTCTGTTTTAGTCCTGGATCTCTCACGCTGCTGCGGCAAGAAAACTAACAGTGTGTTAGATTAAAGGACTTAATTAATTCCAGCTTGTAATGAGTCTTCTTTTTTAATTTCATTCTCAGGCTACATCATCTTCGCAATTGGGTTTGCGGACGCAGACTACGGCGAGCTGGTGAATATCGCCAGCAAACCCAGTGACAGACACGTCTTTTTTGTGGACGATTTGGACGCTGTGAAGAAAATAGAAGAGCAGCTCATTACCTTTGTCTGTGAGGCTGCCACTGCCAGTGAGTAACACCAGCTCATGTTTAAAACAGAGAGAGAGAGGCCGGGAGGAAAATGAGTTCAAGTCAGATGAGGATACAGGTAGACAGAAGGGAAGAGGGACAGAATAAAATTCAGCTGGGAGAAAAGGAGATATGTATCCTGAGGGGAAAAAATGGAGGAGAGGAGAACTTGTGCTAATGTTGAATGAACTAACAGACTCAGTTTTGTTCTTTCAGCTTGTCCGTCTGTTTTGATGAGCGGTAACACGTTGGCAGGTAAGAGTTTCAAATACCAATCACACAGGGCCATGCACTGTGCTGAAATCCCTGGAGAGGAAGTAAATAATAATGACTGCAATTACATCATGATGGCCCACATAGTGGTGCTAGCAATGATTATTGATTATTACACCAAAGTGTTAATGGTGATGATTCTGCTGCAGGTTTCCGTATGATGGAGAAGTTTGGCCTGGTAGAGAAGGAGTATAGCACCATACCTGGAGTTTCTCTGGAGCCGGGTTCATTCAACAGCTTCCCTTGCTACAGGTTACACCGTGATGCCCTGGTGTCTCAGCCCACCAAGTGAGTAAATGAACATTGATGCATCCGTTCACATCACAAGAATTGTGTCCTCCTTGAGTATTGGTCATATTTTACTGAAACTTACAAACAGTGATCACCTAATGGGCTTTCACTCAAACTGTGCTCAATGTTAATGAGCTTTATAAACTCCAAACACAGCTCCAAATTCTTTAAGGTTGCATGTTGCTACATTTTGCATGAATAAAATGATAAAGACAGAAGTTCACTGAATGCCATTTGATATGATAGCTTGAAACATTGCTTTGTATACCACTTGTATCCTGTTAGATGGTTAGATAATAAAATAATAATAATGGATTGCATTTATACAGTGCTTTTCGAGACTCTCAAAGCACTTTACAATTCCACTATTCATTCACTCTCACATTCATACACTGGTGGAGGCAGCTACAGTTGTAGCCACAGCTGCCCTGGGAAGTGAGGCTGCCATATCGCGCCATCGGCCCCTCTGGCCATCACCAGTAGACGGTAGGTGAAGTGTCTTGCCCAAGGACACAAAGAAAACTAACTATAACAGTGATCTTATTGGTCATGGTGAAGGATGGAGTGGTCCTAATGGGTGAATCCCACATAAGGAAGGTGTGGTTTGGGACTTTCTATCACCATTATGCTAAAATCAGTATTATGGCCACTGCCAAGTATAACATGCTGATGTGTTTACATATTTTTACCATACTTTTTGGTTATGGTTGTAAATACTCCTGAACTCAAACACTTTCTTTTGGTGGTGAACTGAATAAATTTGTCCTGGGTATGACTGCTTGAGAGACTTTTCGACTTCTCATTGGATTTTAATTCTCATTAGTTTGTGCAATACAGCCAACCAATGGCAAGATAACTTATCCGTTTCTACAAATTACACTTTACAAGAACCTGTGAACTGTGATGGATCACAAGACACATGAGTTACTGTGCCACTGAAATTGTATTTCAGTTGTGCATCATTATTTCGTCTGATAAGGAAGTGGATTTGCTCAGATTACTGTTCTCTTTATTTTCATTAATGATTTGCTCTGTTTTAGCTGAACACACAGTTTAGCTTTTCTAATTGATTCTCTTGTCAGAAAACTCTTAACTGGAGTCTGCATCTAATATAACAGTAACTTTTAAACAGCCAAAAAACATCCATCCATTTTCTTAACCACTTATCCAACTTTAAAATGGGGTTGGAACCTATCCCAGCTGCCACATGGTGAAAAGCTGGGTACACCCTGGACAGGCTGCACTTTCTTCGCAGACTTATCACATACAGACAGATAGCCCCTCATCTAACATCCAACATGCATGACTTTGGACTGTGGGAGGAAGCCACACAGGCACAAGGAGAACACAAAAGCATGCCAGTAACCTTCTAACTGTGAGGTTATTGTCCTAACCACTGCAGCACCACGCTACCCAAGCCAAGAAACAACTGATCACATTTCTTCTTTATGACTGCTAACTCGCCTGACAGCACAAATGCTTGATGAACAATTGGCACATCTGGAGTTGGCAGCTGGGCATAGCTTTATTCAAGTGTCATTAAGAATGAGATTAGATCTTAGAGCAAATAAGCAAAGATGATTTTGGCCATAAGAATGATCACGACACAGGGACACGATGATAAATGAATCAGAAACATCTGTAATGCACTACTTTCTCCTTCCTAAGGTCTGGGTTCACACACTTCTGATAGCTGTGTGCCAAATCAGGAAGCTACATTTGTGTTTTTAATATGTTTGACTTTTTTTCTGATTTATGGTTAAAGTAAAAGCCTCTGTATTTACATTCATGAATGAGAATTTTTAGTTCTTGGCGATGATGCACCTACTTCGTTGAATGTGTTCTTGACTTGATGTTGTAAAGGTGTTTTTCTTATCCATGGAAATAATTCTGTCATCACGCACTTTAGTTGTCTTTTGTGGTCTTTCTGGGTTTTCCATCTTGTTGGCCACTGTATTCTTTCTTTTTAAGAAAGAACTAGATTGTTAAGCTGGTCACTTCTAAAGTTTTCCTTTTATCTCTGATAGATTTATTTTGGTTTTCTTGGTTAATGATCACCTTTTTTATTTCGTTCGGCATCTCTTTTGATCTATTTTTGATGGTTTCCACGAAAAGCTCCCAAATGCAAGTTAAACACTTTGAATCACCTGCAGGTTATTTATCTCCTATTTGTCATAGTATAATGAGAGAAACTGCTTCACCTGGCTATTAAACTGCCTTTCAGCCAGTTGTCCAATTATTTTTGAGCCTCTAGAAATGGAGGACTGTTTATACAAATGGCTCTAATTCCGAAACAGTTACAATACAGTACAGCACCTTTGTTACAACCCTTAAATTAAAGCTGAAAGTCTGTACTACAATCACACATTGATTGTTTGATTTAAACTGTGGTGGTGTACAGAACTGTGTCATTGTCCATCGTACCTTAAACAAAATTAACTATTTTGTTTGGTCTGTGTTTTTATATCTACAGTTTTAAACATGTACAAGGTTTTGAATAAACAAACACACAATTAAATAAATAAGTACATTTTTATTTTAATTAATAAATAACATTTAATCAGTGTTTTGATAATTTAACATTGTGTACACTTTATTAATCCCATAGGAAATTCCTCTGCATTTAACCCATTCACTCAGTGAAGCAGTGGGCAGCCACCAATCCAGCACCCAGGGAGCAGTGTATAAAGGCAGCACCTTGCTCATGGGTATCTCAGGGTAGCCATTCGGTGGATTTAAACCCCCAACCTTGCTATCATGGGGCAAACACTCTACCTACTGAGCTATTACTATCCCCGGCTATCCAATATATTCACTTTTTCTTGGAATTACACATCTCTAGAAAGTCAGGTACAGAACTTACAGTGAAAGAGAACATGTTGTTTTAAAGCTAAAACTGCAACGAGCCAGCCAGGAGTCAAACCTAGAATCTTCTGATCCATAGTCAGACATTGCGCCACTGGCCCACATGCAAGGTGCTGGGAAGAACTTGAAAGCATTCGAAGAGATTGTTCATATAGGTTAAAAGATTTGGTACGTATCTACAGTAGCACTAGACTTCAGGTACACGTTTAAATACAACATACATGTTTGCTTACACTCAGTAGCACTCAGAGCATTCAGTGGCTCCAGTTTCGATCCCCAAGGTCTTTTCTGATGTTTTCAGAGCTTATTTTCACTTGATGCTGTCAACAGACTTCCATTTCAGCTTCTTGTTCTTTGATTGCTCCTTTTCTGAAAAGTGACAACCACTCTGAAAAACTGAAGCTTAGGAGATTTAAGCCTGAAGTGCTCGGAGGCAGCTACCTATAAAAAGACTAGGCTCTGTGATTAAAAAGAGGCTGGTGCTCATAGTGAGTCTCAGGCATCTGAAAACACTCTAAAAGCAATCACAACAGCTAAAAACAGACAGCACACTTTTTAAAGACACCTAGTGCATACAAGCCTTTCAGGCACCGCTAAGCTTGCTATGTGTGTGTTTGCCTGTCCTTTCATGTGTGTGACAGGTATCTTCACCCTGAGGGTTTACCATCTGACTATACTATTTCTATGATGCTCCGCCTACTTCCCGAGACCCCACAGGAACCTTTTGCGTTGTGGGAAATCCTCAACAAGGACAACGACCCGTTAGTTGGACTGATTCTTGACAGTGAGTTTGAATCACCTATTTTCTTTCTTCTTTACCTTTTTTGTCTCAGCTGGATTTTCGCACATCACAGTTTGACAAGTATAGACTTAAATAGCAGATGTTTGCTACAGCTTTCCCAGCACCTCCAAGTAAACCGAGAAAGTGCATAATGAAGCCAAACTTAGAAGTCGGGCTGCAAAGATATTAATGATTCCAGCTGGGATGCTACATTAACTACAGTTTTAATCCACTATGGTTTATGCAGCTTTAAGAAGTTGGGACGCGTTGTGAGAAGAAAAAGAGAAAAGAAAGAAGAGGAATGCAATGATCATTTAAACCCATGGTTAATTGTATGCATGCTATATGTGCTTATTTTCAAATGGATGCTATTAATGTGTTTCAAAATATTGGAGTCAGAGGCATCAAAAGACTGGAAAGGATGTGTACGTGGGGAAAAATGGTGCATTTCAGAAGTCACTGACAGAAAAAGAAAATTTAAGAAAATTTCGCTTTACAAGTGAAGATGGGGATTCATTACTGTTTTGAATAATGTGGCATATTACTTCACAAAATGAAGAATAATGCCTTGTAAAAGTAAACATTAGAATTCAGAGATTGGAGTATTATCTACTGCAGTAGTTATTACAATATATTAATACGTCTGGAATCTGGAGAACTGGAGAAAAATCTGTCATGTAAAGAAACAATCATCTAAACAAGAAACACCACCATGATCCAAACTTATTAAAGACTTTTTAGAGATGGAAGGCTGTTCTGTGGTCCGACCAGTCCACATTTGGTTTTAAACTAATCAAAGGCTACTGGTGCACCTCTGTCAAGGTTAACTTTCACATCACCAATGATGCTGCACACTGTATACAAGCCTATATATGCCCTGAAACATATACAATGGTCTCAATGATTTCAGGAACAAAATGCAGTTTTCCACTTTCAAAATGTCATATTTTAGCTTGTTTTGCTTTGTGGAAACAACAAAAACAATAAAAAGTATTTTCTATTTAACCTCGAGGATTAATAAAAATCAAAGATACAGGCATGGTTAAAATAAAGCATGGCCTTTTTCAAATCTAAGGTTTAATGTGTCAGGACATAAAAACGATCTTTTCCTTAGCAGGTCTTAAAATTATGTAAATACAACTTTAGGTGAACTACAAAACTATTTATTTAACAAAAATTAGGTCAAAGATTATAGGTGTGCAAAACTAAGTGCACCTGATTAACCAGTGTGAGCACCTCTATAAAAGCAGAGGTTTTGGTTTGGAGCATTCAGGTGTGTGTTTACACAATGCCAAAGAGGAAAGACGCCAGCAATGATCGCAGAGAAGCAATTATTGCTCCCGATCAATGTGGGAAAGGTTATGAGTTGATTTCCATCATTGTGTGGAAGACCTTCTGACAGTGGCCCTGCAAATTCACCATAATGTCAGGTTTAGCATTGCTCCCAAACTGTAAAAATACCCAAGAGCTTCATCTTAGACTCTATAAGCCTCAGTCAGCATGGCAAATGTTGAATGGCTGCCAGGAGAAAGCCTGTTCTCTCTAAAAGGAACATGCCAACAGGGCTTAGGTTTGCAAAGTTGCATCTGAACAAACCACAAAGCTTCCGGAGCAATGTCCTTCGGACAGATAAGACCAAAGTGGAGATATTTGGTCCTAATACACAATGCCACATTTGTGAAACACCACCTACCAGCTAAAGGTTGGCCAAAACTGGGTTATGCAACAGGACATTGATCTCAAGCACAGCAGCAAATCTCCAAATGCTGCGGCAGAACCTGAACCTGAAGGGAGCTGTGCATAAATAATTACTCAACCAGTGAACTGAACCAATGTTATAAAGAAGTGTGTGACAAATTCTTCTACAATGATGTGAGGGATGATAAAGTCATACAGAAAATGATTAATTCAAGTTATTGCTGCTAAAAGTGGCTCTACGAGCTATTGAATCATTAGATGTACTTAGTCTGTCACACTCTTCCTACTTTTTGCCTTAGTTTTTGCTAAATAAATAATGACATATACAAGAATGTCATATTTCTGTTTATCTGAGGTTGCAGTCATCTGATTTAAAGAGCTGATAAGGACCAGATTTGTCATTTTGTCCTGATACATAAAACCTGACAGACTGTATACTTTCTTTTTACAGTGACTGTTCCTGCTTTTTTTTGGTAAATACCTGTATTATTTAACTCTTTCTGAATGGTCCTGATTATATGTATGAAAAGGGGTCATGGCCTTAAATTTACAGCTGTGGATCAGCCACAGCTTGAGTACGATATAAAGTCAGTTTTAGTTAAAACAGATGGGATGATGATGATAATGGTGGCTGAAGACTTACCATGGTGCAGTGGCTGTATAGTAAGTGTTTGTGTCATACTGTGATAAGCCCTATCACAGAAAACAGTGCACACTCGGTAAGCTCACCCCTAGGGTGAACTTTTAGAAGTGTTTTGGACATCACTGACTTGGAGAAGACTTGATCTGCTGCCATTTCCATATCAGTGTATGACATCCCATGTGAGATCCAAGGAGTAGCTGAAGGATGTTAAAAAATCATTTAGTTTTCTCTGCTTTCCCAATTGAGCCCGATACAGCAAGGAGGCAACAAAATTGCATTTTAGTTTGGGCTTGAGTTACTTTTGAGTGAGTGACATATATTTGCTTACATCTTGAGTCTTTAGTGTGAATACAACAGTGTATGTGTTATTCAAAAAGCTGTTTCTGTTAGTCCAGACACTTGAAATATGCAGTTTGATTTTGTTTGTTTCTGATTGAATTTCTTTTTTTTAGGGAATGCATGTTTGTAATACTTAGTCGTGTGCTCAATTCACATTTGCACCGAATGGGAAAATTATCTATCCTCCCAACCTCACTACCACCACTTTCCTCCCACAGACTCTGGAAAGACACTGACGTTCTTTAACCATGACTACAAAGGAGACTTCCAGACTGCTACCTTTGAAGAGGCAGCAATCAAAAAAATTTTCCATGGCAGCTTCCACAAGGTTAGTTTTTTTTTTTGCAACTCTACGCTGAAAATAACTTTACGTAGCTGGATTCAAAATGTAGGCGTCAAAACAGACAAAGTATTTTTGCATTGTGGCTAACATGCTGATGTCAAGTGTTTGCGCGTGCGTGGTGTGAGAGCCTGCGGTGACACCATCACGACGGCCAACAAGATTTCAAGCAGGTTTGATTTTCTTACGACCAAACGATTGATGATCGGGAGCTGGTCGTGAGGTGTTAATCGCTTCTCGTTACCCCATGTATACTACACGATGCACGACGCACGATGAAGGCGAAACTCGGGCCGATCACCAAAACAGTCGCACGACTGAAGAATCGGCTCAAAATGGGCCAAAAATCGCACAGTGTATGCCCAACATTAGGGCCTTGAAGGTTCTAATCCAGATAACATATTATAGCCTAACGATGAGATATAATAACCAACACTTAGCATTGTATCATTCTAATTTCCCCTCAATTACATAACTAATTTATCACCACAAAAATTCAATACAGTGGTCCCACGTTTATCGCGGTAGTTACATTCTAAAAATAACCCGGGATAGGTGAAATCTGCGAAATATCCAACTTTATTTTTTACAATTATTATAGATGTTTTAAGGCTGTAAAACCCCTCACTACACACTTTATACACTTTTCTCAGACAGGCATGAACATTCTCACACTTTTCTATCTTGTTTAAACACTCTCAAAGTTCTAACCTTTGTAGAAAAATAAGTCCAGTATTACAGAATGAAAAGGCACCCGCAGTTGCCTGTGACGGTGCAAAAGTTTCGTCGACATTGTTGTGTTTGTTGCAGCACTTCAGAGTCACACTGCTAGTGATCGAAGATTTATGTAAATTTGACAAGCTGAATGCATTCTGACTGTACAGGAGATGCGGCACGAGATTGATTGACAGTGGTTTACAGCCAATCAGCACGAAGAACACAGTGCGCTGTAAAAAATAAATCGAGCAAAATTGCATTAAAAAATCCGCGAAACAGCGAGGCCATGAAAGGTGAACCAAGGGAGCACTGTATTATGATATGTGATTATAGCATGATGATATTACGTTGCCTGATGATTACATTAAAAAAGACTAAAGTGTAAATCATACAATAGAGCAGCTCGTGACCATTGAAGCTTATCTACAAAAATGTCCTAATTACTATACTTAATCACATTCTCTCAAAGTAGGACTACTTCCTGCTTGATTTATGACCTCAGTAAACCATTTCCTGTTGAGTTTATTTTTCCAAATAAATGACTTTATGTCTTATTTTAACATTACCCATTTTCTAAATTATGATCCCATTTATAACAAACTTAGCAGTAAGTATCTGCTTCAGGGTGAGCGTGGGTTGCAAAGTGGCTTTCACAGGTATATCATCTGTGTGCATGCTAAAGCAGCTTCAGTATAACAGAAAATGAGTCATCAAACGATGTGGTCGGACTATAAGATTAACTGATCTGCTGGGATTGCAGCTGCTAATGCCATGCTAACGCAATATTTGGCTTAACATATTTGCTGTACCCATACAGTGATAAACTCTGTTCAGAACTTTTAGGTGGTAGTGTTTCACATAAATGTTGAGGTTTGCTGCCTTGAAACTCTGGAGAGCAGATTGGGACAGAGAGAGAAGGAAATGTGGCGGTAAGCTGCCGTAGAGAGCCAAAAACATAAGAAAGCTCTATTGTATTTTTGGTGTTTTTGAAGCTGTGGCTCCTGTTGGGTGGTTTTCCAGAGGCTCCTGGGCTGAAATTTTTCTCTCGATCTGTCAGCACTGCTGCGGAGAGTGTTTAAAAATGTGATGATAGCCCCCTTTCCTATTCCCTATCTCCCTCCCACTCTCCACTGCTTTTCTTGCACCAATTGTTGTTTTTTTTAAACCAGTGGAGAGTGCAAAGTGGGAGTAAAACTGCAGATTTTAACAACCTTTAAGTAATTTCTATGGTCTCCTGTGATAAGGTTATTGTGGACTTTTGTCATTATTTTTGATGTGAATTTAAAAAAACAAGAATAATCTTATTTTAAACAGTCTCTTTCTTTAATCAGTGCAACACAAGTAACTTTTTTTTAGAGTGTAATCCCTTTAAAAAGTAGATTTTATGAGTACACCATTAGAACAAGGTCTTTAGTTGTTTATGCAGTCATACCTATTCCCTGGAGAAACCATATTATTTATCCCACCCAAATGATTTTCTTCCAAAGGCATTTCATATTTCCCTCGATGACTGGGATTACGTCTGAGCATTTTTATGTAAATTATGTTGTATCTAATTACTCTGACTGAGTGAAAATAGCAGATTCTGATGGCTTTCCTCCAACAGAAGACAATTTTGTGCTCACTTGAGAGGAAAGAGCATTTTGAGAAAAAAATAAACACAGAAATAAATACTGATGCAAATGCCCCCGCTGAATAAATAATGACATTGATTTAGCCTCAGCAGGCCCAGGAAATGACTAATTCACATTGCAAAACAACATTAGCCGAGATAAACGAAATAATGATAATCAGTCCTTTTGTCTTTACATGCACGTTCTCCTTTGAGTGCCGATCATTTCAGGAGCTCTCTTAATTCAACCAGTCGGATTTAGATTTTGCTTTATTTTCTTTATTTTTTTTTAAAGACTAGTAGATGTTTGTTTGACAAATGAATAGAACTCCAAGAAAAGTTTCTATAAACATTATTTTGCCTGGAATTTCTGTGGATTTCTGCTGAAAACAAGCCAACAGCAGCCCACTAACTGTCTCTATCTCAGTTCTCAAATGTCATGGAGTAGCTGTCCATCATTCTCTCTGCCTTTTGTCTTCTCTGTTGTTTCTCGCCTTTCTCCCGGAGAACATGACAATTTTCAGAGAGGGAACAGATGCAGAGGACTGCCTGACCAGAGGAAGTCTCCCTCTCCATTTAGACAGGATGACAAGTGAATAAGAGGAGTGTGTGTCTGTGTGTGCATGTTTGTGGGTCCTTTATAAAGGGATTACCATATGAAGACGCCTCATGTGAAAGCAGGAATACTCAGCGGGATCTGGCACTGGTGGAAGCACACACACAAACATACATTCAGCATGTTTGCGTGTGTGTTCTCTCTCTGTACACAGAGGGAACAAAAACAGGTAAAGGAAGAGAAGAAATGGATATGATGAGGAGTTTTAACTCTTAGACACACAGAGAGAAGAGGTGAAAGTTATCCGCGATACACAACTCATTTTGCTCCAAAACTGTGCGGTCACTATTTCTGTGACCCAAATGATTGAATGCCCCGCATTAAAAAGTTACAAGCAGCACACAAAGCTGTCGTTGTGTGCGCTGTAAAAAATCGACACTAAGGAAATTTCCACCTGTACGTTTGTTACTTTCTACAGCTATCCACCATATCTCACTAAGTTTAAAGAAGCACTTTTAATTTGTTTATTGATTGTTGTTATTATTATTATTTTAAATCTATATTGATGAATGTTGGTAGGTCCCCGCCTTTGACAAAACACTTTAGAACATAAACTATTTGGTCTAGAAAGTAAAAAGAGTCCCTGTAGGAAGTAAGACGTTTTTATTGTCCAGTGTAAAAAGCAAAGGATTTTCACCTTGGAGAGAGTTTGAACCATAAGTGCATCAGTGTTTAATGAACTGTTGTGTGGAGGACACATTTCTGGGCAGAAGTGCAGGATTCTTGAGACAGGAATAAACTTTAAACAAGCTTTAACGCTTCCGGTTCCAGAAAACCAAAAAGAAAGCCCAAAATCTGAATGGTGACAGGGTACCATTCCAAAGACTACAAACATACTCAGAAAAGTCAGGGAAAGCAGAGCAAGGAAACGAACAACAATGTGGAAAATAAAACACAGGACAGGGGGAGACTCAGGAAATGGATACATACAGGTGGGGAACACAGCTGAAAGTAATCAAGGACGAAGGGACAAGGAGGGCAAAATCAAATAAAAACAAACAAACACCAGAGGCAAAAATATTATCAACATAAAACAGGAAGAGAAAATTATCTGTGGAGCCCATATACATGCATGGACTCAACATATGGGTAATGACCAGAGATGGGCAGTAACCCTTTACAAGTAACGTCCAACATCCAGGGACCATTCTTGTCTTGTGGGAGAGGTTTAGGGGGCAGTTTTGTTTGTTTAGATTTAGTTTGTTTCTGCTTTCCTAGATTTTTCTATATTTATCTGACAGATAAACCCAATCCAATACTAGTGATGTTAGTCTTGCTATAGAAGACTATAGAAAATACACAAGGTTCATAATGTACATCCATGGTTTCACTTCCTGCTGGTAAATCTTTTGATGCATGTCATACTGTTCTCTTACATTTCCTGTTGCTCTCTGCAGTGACTGTTCAAATAAAGGCATCATTTAAAAAAAATTTTTTTAAATGTTTATTTTACCAGAGCTAGAGTAAAAATGCTCAAATCTGCTCTAGCTTCTCATTATGTACACTGATCTTTTTCATAAAGACAGGAATAATAAGACTTGTTTGTTTGTTTTTCAGCGACTCTAATTGTCAAACCAGATCCATTTACAGGCCAAATAATTGTTTACATCGACAAAACAAGTTGAGCATTTAATACTGTACTATAGGACTGGGCTTCTAGTCAATTCTACTTGTGTCTAGCTTGATAATCAGTGTATGGTCAGCTTACAGCATACAGTATAAGCTAGACAACTTTTTTTTTCTCTTGCAACTACATAAAAAACACATGCAAGAGCAACAGTTTCTTCATGTGTAATCAGGCATCCTCCCCTCCCCCTTCTTCAAAAATGAATCTGCTTCTAGGGTGTGAAGATCTCTGTGTTAAAACCACAAAACCAGATACAAATTGAACTTAAGAATCCAACTTTATTCATGTTAAAGTGATAATTCAAATTTAATGAACAAAACACTTTATTTATCAGGCACAGAGAGCACCAGATGAGACAAAACATCAAAAAATCAACAACGCAAAAACGTCAATGCTATCTAAAATGACCAATCGCA